CTGACAGCCAATGTTGAACTTATTACGGTCCTTTACACCTGGACTTCTAGTCATGTGAGCCAATAAACTATCTTATCATTTAAGTCAGTTTGACTGTCACTTATAATCCAAAGTCTCCTGATACTGTCTGAGAAGGAATACAGAGAAAATCAAGTTGATGATGAACACAACATGTCATCATTTCATTTTGTAGCCTAATCAGAAATTAACCTCAAAAAAAATAGCAAAATGAATCACTGTTATAAAGGAATATAGATCTTCAATGCAACTGGTAAGGCATTAAAACTATATCAAATAATGGGGGGCCTGGGTGGCTCAGTCAGTTGGGCGTCCAACTTGAGCTCAAGTCATTATCTCATGGTTTGTGAGTTCAAGCCCCACATTGGGCTCACTGCTGTCAGTCTGTGAGCACAGAGCCCACTTTGGATCCTCTGTTCCCCTCTCTCTGCCTCTCCCTCACTGCGCTCTCCCAAAAATAAGTATTAAAAAAAAATATATATATATCAAATAATTCAGATGTATTTTCTGTAAAAAAATAAAGGTATTCATATCTCACTGGATGGAATTAACAGTAAGTTAGACTTGATAGAAGAAAATACTAATGAACTGGAAGGCACAGCAATATAAAATATCCAGAAAGAAACACAGAGAGAAAAAAGACTAAAAAAAAATAAATAAATGAGCTGTGAAAAAGCTTCACATGGTTCAATATATATGTGATTGGAGACACCAAAGGAAAAGTGGAAGAGGAAAGGAAAAAATATTTGAAGAAATAATGGTCAAAATTCTTCTGATTTTGATTAAAAAACATAAATCCATAGATCCAATTATGAGCACATCATAAGCAAAAGAACCATAAAGAAAACTACATCAAGGTATATTACAGTCAAATTGTTTGAAACCAGTGATAAAATCTAAAAAGCAGCCTGAGGAAAGTCACTTGATGTACAGAGAACAAGATTTAAAAATTATAGCAGACTTCTCCTCAGAAAGAATCTAAGTCAGAAGACAGTGTAACATTGTTTTTAAAGTAATGAAAGGAAAAAAAAAGATCAACCTAGAGTTCCATACCCAATGAATTTCTTTTAAGTTTATTTATTTATTTTGAGAGAGACCGAGAAAGAGTGCACAAATGGGAGAGGGGCAGAGAGCAAGGGAGACAGCAGATCCAAAGCAGGCTCCATGCTGACAGCAGAGATTCTGATGCAGGGCTTGAACCCACAAACTGTGAGATCATGACCTGAGCTGAAGTCAGACACTTAACCAACTGAGCCACCCAGACACCCCCCAACAAATATTTTTAAAGAGAAAGCAAAATGACTTTTTTAGTCACAGAAGGTGAAATAATTCACCAACCACAAACTCATACTACCAGACTTGTTAAAGGAAATCTATTAGACAAAATGAATATCCCACCAGGTAGAAATATGAACTACACAGAAGAATGAAAAGGCCCAGAAATGGTAAATATACTAGCCATTTTTTTCTTATTTTTGAAATCTCTTTAAAAGACAACTGAATGTTTAAAGCAAAAAAATAACAATATATGGTGGAGTTCATAACATACATAGAAGGAAGATGCATGACAATAATAGCACAAAGGCCTAGGGGAAAAGGTAAAGAGGTACACGGGAAGAGGAATTATATTACTTGAAGATAGACTATGGTAAGTTAATGACGTATATTATAAACCATAAACCCTAAAGCAACCACTAAGATAAAAACAAAAATAAAAACAAAATCCCCAGAGTTATACCTACTAAGCCAACAAGAGATAAAATGGAATATTTAAAATGTACTCAATTTATCCTTTCTTAATAAAAGCCCTCGAGAAAGTTGGGATAGAAGGAACATACTTAAACCTCATAAAAGCCATTTATGAAAAGCCCACAGCTAATATCTCTCATCCTCCCAGGGGAAAAAACTGAGGAGCTTTTCCCCTGAGATCAGAAGAACAAGACAGGATGTCACTCTCACTACTGTTGTTTAACATAGTGTTGGAAGTGCTAGCATCAGCCAATCCAGACAACAAAAATCAAAAGGCATCAAGTGGCAAAGATGAAGCAAGCTTTCACTTTTTTGCAGATGACGCGTGATAATATACATGAAGACCGATAGACTCTACCAAAAGATCTGCTGCGAACATTACATGAATTCAGCAAGAAGTCTCAGGATACAAAATCAATGTAACCAAGAAATCAGTTGCATTCTTATACACTAATAATGAAGCAACAGAAAGACAAATAAAGAAACTGATCCCATTCACAATTGCATGTAGAAGCATAAATACCTGAATAAATCTAACCAAAGATGTAAAAAGATCTGTATGCTGAAAACTATAAGAAAGAAAAAGCTTATGAAGGAAATTGAAGAAGATAACAAGAAAAATGGAAAAAGCATTCTGTGCTCATGGGTTGGAAGAATAAATACTGTTAAAATGTCAATACTACCCAACTATCTACACATTCAATGCAATCCCAATCAAATTACAACATTCTTCTCGAGAAAGCTAGAACAAGTGATCCTAAAATTCATATGGAACCACAAAGGCCCGAATAGCCAAAGTAGTATTGAAGAAGAAGACCAAAGCTTGGGAGGCATCACAATCCCAGACTTTAACCTCTACACAAAGCTGTAATCATCAAGACTGGTATTGGCACAAACAACACATAGATATGGAATAGAATAGAAACCCCACAGAAACTAGACCAAAAAAGTATGGCCAACTAATCTTTGACAAAGCAGGAAAAGAATATCCAATGGAAAAAAAGACAGTCTCTTTAACAAATGGTGCTGGGAGAACTGGACAGCAACAACATGCAGAAAAGAATGAAAACTGAACCACTTTCTTACCATTCTAAAAAAATTAACTCAAAGTAAAGGACACCTGAATGTGAGACAGAAACCATCAAAACCCTAGAGGAGAAAACAGGAAAAGAGAAGACCTCTCTGACCTCAGCCGCAGCAATTTCTTACTTGACACATCCCCAAAAGGCAAAGGGAATTAAAAAGCAAAAATAATTATTGGGACCTGTGAGATAAAAATCTTTCTGCACAGCAAAAAGAAACAATCAACAAAACTAAGGCAACCAACAGAATAGGAAAAGATGTTGCAAGTAGCATATGTCAGGACAAAGGCTGAGTATCCAAAATCTATAAAGAGCTCACCAAAATCCACACCGAAAAACAAATAACCCAGTGAAAAAGAGGGCCAGAAAACATGAATGGACACTTCATACAAGACATCAGCAGATGGCCAACAGGCACATGAAAAGTGTCAAAACATCGCTCCTCATCAGGGAAATACAAATCAAAACCACACTCAGATTATCACCTCCGCCAGTCAGAGTGGCCAAAAATAGAACAAATCAGAGCTATAGATGCTGAGAGCGATTTGATATTGGAGAAAGCTTAGCTGCCTGCACTGTTGGTGGGAATGCAAACTGATATAGCACTCTGGAAAACAGTGTGGAGGTTCCTCAAAAAAGTGAAAATATTACCCTATGACCCAGCAATAGCACTGCTGAAATTTAAAGGGATACAGGAGTATTGATGCATAGGGGCACTTGTGTAATGTTTATAACAGCACTCTCAACAATATGCGTGTGGAAAAAGCCTAAATGTCCATCAACTTTGATGAATGGATAAAAGTGGTATTGTGGTTTATATACACAATATGGAGTACTCTGCGATGGCAATGAAAAAAGAATAAATGTGACCCACTTTGTATACTTGTCGATGGAACACTGGAGTGTGATGCTAAATTAATCGCTCCTTACCACAAGAAAAAACAGATACCATATGTTTCACTCTTATGTGGATCTGAAAGCAACAACAGAAACCCATGGGGAGGGAAGAAAAAAATGAGGTTAGAATGGGGAGAGAGCCAAAGCATAAGAAACTCTTAAAAACTGAGAACAAACTGAGGGTTGATGGGAGGGTGGGAGGGAGGGAAGGGTAGGTGATGGGCATTGAAGAGGGCATCTTTTGGGATGAGCACTGGGTGTTGTATGGAAACCAATTTGACAATAAATTTCATATATTAAAAAAATAAATAAATAAATAAAATGTACTCAATTTAAAAGATGGGAGAGAAAGAGGGAGAGCAAAGAGCAAGATGTGACAAGCAGAAAACAAACAGCAAGGCAGATTTAAACCTAAGCATAATCAATAATCACATGAAATACAAATGGCCTAAACACTTCAAATAAAAGGCAGACATTCAGACTGGATAAAAAGCAGTTATTTATAAAAAGACTGGATAGATATAAAATATAAAGAAATAAAGGCTAAAACTATAAGGATGGAAAAACATCTATAATGCTAACACTACTCAAAAGAAAGCTGAAGTAATTATATTAGTACCAGACTAGTAGATTTCAGGCCAAAAAATATAATCAAGGATAAAAAGAGTCATTTAATAATGATAAAGGGTCAGTTCATCAAGAATACATAACAGTCCTAAACATTTATGCATCCATTAAGTCAGTCCACCAAAACAAGAATATAGAAAGACGCCTTTCATGGTTAAAATGCAACATCAGCATTCCTGAATCAAAAGTGAACCCTGCCAAAATGGAGCTTAAGATCTTTTTTTTTTTTTTTTTTTTTTTTTTTTTTTTTTTTTTTAATTTTTTTTTTTTTTCAACGTTTATTTATTTTTGGGACAGAGAGAGACACAGCATGAACGGGGGAGGGGCAGAGAGAAAGGGAGACATAGAATCGGAAACAGGCTCCAGGCTCTGAGCCATCAGCCCAGAGCCCGACGCGGGGCTCGAACTCACGGACCGCGAGATCGTGACCTGGCTGAAGTCGGACGCTTAACCGACTGCGCCACCCAGGCGCCCCAAGATCTTCTTTATGTAATAAGTGGCATGCAATTTTACTAATCAAAGTGCAGTATTCCCTCAAAAAAGGGTCAAAGGTAGTACTTTGTGAAATGTCAAAATATTTATGACTTCAATGCCAAGTCTGATCAAAGTGATCTAAGGTTGACTCACCTTTCATATTGCCTATCTCGTGGCAATGAAGCACCCCAATGTCGAAAGTCCATGATTAACATAAGTAAAAGGAGGCAGGATATGAAGAAGAGTCCTAGGAATGCCACCCTCTGGCGGGGAAATGGGTTCACTGTGGGCACAGTGAAGTACCAGGAGGCTGGGCAGAGGTAGGAAAAACTGATCCTGAAATGAGACAAACATTAGTAAGAAAAGTCTCTACATCTGAGTGCCAAAAAAAAAGGCTTTTAAACTGTATTAAAGCCCTTCCTGATAAAGGCAAAAATTTATGCCACCATCAGTCTATAGAAGTTCTTTTAGTCTCAAATTTTAGAAAAGGACTTATATGATTCATGGTGCTTCTACTATAAATCAGAAAAGCCTTATCTTCTCTTTTCCCAATGTCTGCACTTTTGGGTATAATTCAAAGAATTACAGTTCTCATGTTTATGAAAAGATCACTAGTCTCCCTGGTCAACCTCACAACATTGAAGAATCAGAGCAACTACAACATTCCCACCAAGAATGATGTCAAAAAACTGGATAATCTGTATATTTATTCAACTAATTAAAAAATATTTTAATAGGTAATATATGCACATGAAACAAGTTTAAAAGGATATATAGTGAAAAATGAGTCTTTTGCCTTAACCTAGCATTTCCTACTGAAAGGCAAGCACTGCTACCCTGTCTCTACGTATATTTCCAGGGGTATTCTATGTTTACACGAGCATAAATATATATCAGATATGACAATATGCATGTGTGTATCTCATTCCTCTGGTTTTACACCGTACCTACTGTTCTGCATCTTTGCCCACTTACTCTATTTGACAACTGTTCCATTTGGTACATGTAGATCCACATTAATCTTTTCTGGAAGTTCCAGAGTATCACACCATATGGATGTACATATTCAACTATGAATCTCACTTCCTATATTGATTCAAAAGGACCTCGGTCTACTTTCAAACAAACAAACAAAATCTTTGTTTAACCTCCTCAAAAAGCACACAGCCTCACTCAAATGGAAATCTGAAAGAACATTACATTTTAGCACTTTCCGGAGCTGAGCAAGCACTCAGTCTACCACCCTGGAGTTATGGGCTAGAAACTATGGTAGCATTTGCCTTAAAAAAAAAAAAAAAAAAAAAGTAACTTTGATCTTCTCCCCATCCATCCGAGGAAGCTGCAAAGTCCAGATGCAGCACTAGGGCAAACCTCACTTGTAAAAACCTCCCAGGGCCCCTCAACCTATCTGCCACCCCCAACTGAGCCCCTAGCTGAGGAGAAAATGTGCAGCCTTACCTAGCCATGGGATCCCTTCAGTGGTCTCAGTGCCTGTCACCTCCTTTTCTTTTTGCCCTGAGAAATGGGTCTCCTTGTCTCAGGCATCTCCTAAGTCTGCAGCCTGTTAAGAGTTCGTTGGGTTTCAGGCTTACCTCCAGCAGTGCCCACAGGACTAGACTTCCGAGGGAAGGCCAAGGCGCCCACCCGCCTACTCCAGATGCGTCCGCTCTTGTTCCTGGGGCCCAGCTGACTCTAAGCCGGCTCCCGGGGAGCCGGGCATTCTCGAGGAACCGGCGCTCCCCAGGTGGCAGGGATTGGAAGACCCACTCCCCCTCCCCGCCTCTCCCAGCCCCGCGGCCCTCCCGCGCTCTCACTCACGGGTCGAGAGTCCCGCAGTCTCCCCTGGCACCGTTCCGCTCGGTCCAGAGCGGTTCCCCAAGGCCTTTAGTCCAGCCGGAAAAAACCTTGGGCGGGCGGCGGCGCCACGTCCCCAAGGAAACCGCAGGGAGCCAATGACTGACAGGAGAACCGCGGAGAAGAGCCCACCCTCCACCCAGCCGGAGCAGCCTGCGAACATGCTCCGCCAACCCCACGTCCTTTCGCCAGAGTGGCCAATCCCCAAGAGCGTTCGGCCTCTAATCCCCGCCCCGGGATTTCGAGCGCGTCCAATCCGGAAGGGCGTCGTGCCGTAGCTCCGCCTCGATAGACCCGCGTTGGGCGCACAGGTGAGCTGTGTCGAGCGGTGGATGGATCCTCTGCGCCAGCTGCGCTCTCGGCGGTGGTGCTGTTTCTTAGCTGGTTGCTTTCTACGTTGCCGCTTCCAGAATTGTGCAGCTCCGGTGGGTGGATCTTGGAGTGGCCGCGAGAGAAGCGCATCCCTTTCCCACAACCAGTTGGAGGTATTGTGTCCACCAGCCCTGATCTCCGGAATCAAACCTTCACTATAGCCTCCTAGACTCGTGCCCTGGCCTCTTTGTCTTGTCCTGTTAGAGAAGCATAAACTGGAGACCACATCGTCTATACCGAAGCGCTTGTATCTATTCATTCAGCATTCATTGAATGTTTGTGTGCCATACATGAGCCGCTGTGCCCCTGCTCTCCCGGACCTTACAGTAATACATACAAAGGTAATGTTTCCTTAATGTTTTTCCTCCTTGCTTACACCAGCCGTTTCTCTCATTTCCAGGAGGGAGCCGTTTGTACAGGATAAAGTCCAAGTCCTTACAAATGTGGCTTATACGTGGCAGTCCACGACCCTCCCATGCAGCTTCTACTTTTCACCTCCCTTATTATAGCTCAGAAACGCACATCTATCTGTGGCTTCTGCTCTCTTAAGCTTTGCTCATTCGACCTCCTCCACCCTTCCATCCGCCTCGAATATCCTTCCCCCCAACTTAGCCAAGCCAACGCATACTCATCCCTTACTACTCTCAATTTAAGGGTCACCTCCCCTAAAAGTTTTACTTGACCTACAACCCCGTCATATATACCTATTGTTTCTCTTGCCATATTGAATTACAATTTATGTGTCTGTCTGTTCCAATAGAATATGCTTGAAGGCAGAGACTATGTGCTTCCACAGCAATGCTGGGCACTGCCTGGCACACAACACAGCTAATATATGACAAGTAAGTGAATGACTGGAAATAAATGAAGACCACCCAAATGAGATTAAAAAGAAAAAAAGAGGCTATTTATTCTACACCTGCTATAGAAGGCAGTTAACCACCATCATTCATGTCTGGCAGAGACCCAAAGGCTGTCAGGGGAATGGGAAAGCTTAAACTGAAGAAAAAAAAAAAAAGAAGAAAGAAAGGTTTCATGTATGCTCTGACTTGAGAGTGTTAGCATGGGGAAGTCGGTGGTGGGCTTACTAGGAGCAGGGCTTCTTATGTGATTGTGGAGAACATATTTGGCTTTCTCATATTTGGTCCTGAGTTAGAAGGTAGGGAAGAGAATTGAACAGTAGTGAGAACTCTGGGATGATTGCTGTAGAGGTTATAGGTCACAATTCTAATCGTCATATATGGTCTGACATTGTCCAGTTTGTATGTTCAGGCTCTCCCCACTATTGTTTTTTTACCTCCTTTACCCTGCCAGCCTGGATGGGCTTCCTAACGTGCCTTTCTCCCTTCAATTCTTGGTTCTCTTTTCTTTGTCTTTCAATCCCTACTCTGCTTCAGGTGTTATATTTTATCGGGGCCCCAGAAATCACATTGGGTAGAATAGTTTTATAAAGTTAGGATTAACTGCAGAATCATACAAATATCGGATATTTTTATTATGCCAGAGCCTGGTTCAGGTAGACATGGGGAAAAAATTAACAAATGTTTGGAATATATATTTTTTAATTCCTTTTTTTAAGTTTTACTTATTTAAGCAATCTCTACACCCAACATGGGGCTCAAACTCACGACCCTGAGATCGAGTCACATGCTCTTCTGAATAAGCCAGGCAGGTACCCTATATTTTTTTAATCAGTTTGCCTGCCAACTGTGTAGTATTGTCTAACCTATGTATATTTCAAACTCCAGTGGTCCACTAAACAGGTATTGTTGAGTGGAATGGAGTTCCTATTTATGTTATGTTTTAAACAGTAATTAATTCATGTGATTTATTAACTATATTAACTTAGAGCTTAAAGGTACATTGAAACATCTTATAACTTACATTTCATAACTACTGTTAGAAAACAGAAAGAAACCTACATTTTAATCCCAACATCTCATTATACTTTCTTTGCCCATTTCGTTTGGATAATACTTCCTTCAGTAAGTCCATATGCATTCAGTAATTTGTAGAGCATGATTCTTTACAAAAGCCCACAATGCTTATCTGATTAACAGCTCACAGGGCTGAGTTCTGAGATTTCCAGTCAGGAGGCCAAAAAAAGTAGGTTGAGATCACTTCCCCATCTCATTTGCTGTAACTCTCAACATGTTGAAACCAATTACAGAAATCCGTATTTCAAAACAGGTCTTTAACTGCTTTTTAAAGACTTGTCTACAATTACATTTACAATTTTCTCAAGAAGTCCTTGACTTCTTGACCCAGCTGTGAGTAAAATCAGCCAAACCAGTCCCACGCTCAGTATCAGTTGTCTATATCACTTTATTTCTCCTTAGTTCTCCTTCATTCCATACTCCATCCTGCCCTAATCTCTAAAGGAGTTGAAGTATTGTGGTCTTCAATCTCCCTTCCAAGTTTACTCATCTTTCTTTGTGTGCTATGTAGACACCTCATTGTCCACGACCAAACTCATAGTCTCTCCACTCTTACTTTATCCACCCAAACCTCCTCCAGTCATATTCTAACTTTGATGAACTACTGTGTGATTCACCCAAGCAGAAATTTGCAAGTCATTTTAGGATTTCTTCCTTCTACTTCCTTTCTGCTGTAGGAGAGCAAAATTTGCCACCCCAAAATGTGTCTCTTTCACATGTGGATTATTTTATGCTGATTATTATTATTTTTTTTTCAACGTTTATTTATTTTTGGGACAGAGAGAGACAGAGCATGAACGGGGGAGGGGCAGAGAGAGAGAGGGAGACACAGAATGAAATAGGTGCCCGAAATTATCAGCCCAGAGACGACGCCGGGCCACCGAATCATCACGACCACAAATCGCGGACTCGACCTGGCTGAAGTCGGACGCTTAACCGACTGCGCCACCCAGGCGCCCCTATGCTGATTATTTTTAACAAACAGAAGACTCAGGAAGAACTTTTCAAAATTACCCCCCCCCCCCGCCCCCCTGCAAATGCTTAAAAGAATTTGGAGAGAGGACCTGCTCCAGGACAGGAGCTATCAGCATAAATAACTACAGTATAATATGAACCAGGTGTGGTAGAGAGGAACTTAGCAAAGTCTGTTTATTAGAATTCCTCTCTGTGTCCCATTTTTTCTGTGTGGCCCAGCAAACATTTGTTTACCAAACATTTACTCTTTTTCATCTTCCTGTGAATTGTCCTCCTTCCCTTTGACGTCCCAACTCAGAATGGCATAGAAGCCTCAATTGCCTGACTACCTGTGGGCCTCACAGTCTCATAGGATCCCTATATGTATGTAATTAAATTTGATTTTCTACTGTTAATCTGTCTCATGTCAATTTAATTCTTATATCAGCCAAAAGAATCTTGAAGGGCGTAGAAAAATTTTTCCTCCACAACACCTATTTCATCCAGTTAGTGACTAGTTGTTCTTAATTCAAATGCCCAAAATCCTCTGCAAAATCTTCTGATGAAGCATTCTAGCTGGTGGCCCTGCATCTTCATGCCTCTCCTTAGTGCCCCTTCATTCTGATATAGTGAAATATAATCATGCTAATTCCTATTTTAAAATCCTTGTGTTTCCCCATCCCAATGGGATACAGTTCAATTTCCTTGGCGTGGTGTAGCAGATTCTGCTAACTGCCTACCCAAAAAGCCAACAATCTCTCTTCCACATTATTAACAGAATCCCAATTTTATTCTTGTAACCGCACTGCTATGCTTGGCCATATGCTTGAAGAGTACTAAGCTC